ACCCAGTTCTTTCAGTTAATACATTGCAAGGAAAAAAGTGATGGAGAGAAATATATCAAAAGATATATCAACCAATTATAATATATGGACCATAGTTGGATCCCAATCTAAACAAAGCATAGCAAATATGAGATATTTGGATTGGGCATTAAATGTTATGAAGGGATTATTGTTAATTTTTGTAGGGGTGAGAATTGCACTGTAGTGTGTGTGTGTGTGTTTTTGAGTTCTTAGCTTTTAGAGATACATTCTGAAATATTTATAGATAAAATACAATGTGTGAAATTTGCTTCAAAATAGTACTGGAGGAAGAGAAGTGGAGGCAGGGTTTAAGAGACAAGATTGACCATGTATTGATGGTTTTTAGGGCTGGGTAGTGGACATATGGGGTTAATTTTACTTTTTCTTTCTACTTTTTTATATGTTCAGAATTCTCCATAATCAAAGCTTTGTTTTGTTTTGTTTTGTTTTGTTTTTGTTTTTGTTTTGAGACAGAGTCTCACTGTGTTGTCCAGGCTAGAGTGCCGTGGCGTCAGCCTAGTTCACAGCAACCTCAAACTCCTGGGCTCAAGCGATCCTCCTGCTTCAAGCCTCCCAAATAGCTGGGACTATAGGCGCATGCCACCACACCCAGCTAATTTTTTCTATTTTTAGTAGAGATGGTTTCTCACTGTTGCTCAGGCTGATCTTGAACTCCTAAGCTCAAGCGATCCTCCCATCTTGGCCTTCCAGAGTGCTAGCATTACAGGCATGAGCCACCACGCCCAGCCCATAGTAAATGGTTTTTTAAAAATGTAAAAAATTCCATTGATAAACTTTTTTTAACTTCTTAGACTTGCAGTCAAGCTTTTGCTTTCCTTGATCATAGACTGTTAAGAAAATAATACTTGGAAACATTGTTGCATTTTAACAATATCTTTAAAAATTAAAAGTCACATACCTTTAATGCCATAATTCCAGTTCCAGGAATTACTTGTACATATACATAAAGATGTTAATACGTGGATTTTCATTGCAGCAACAGCAAAAGTTTGGAAACAACCTAAATATCCATCAATACAAAGGGGTTTAATGAATTATGGTATAGTCATACTATGGGATACTACTCAGTTATTAGAGAATAAAGTGATAGTGATATGGAATGATCTCCAAGTAAGAAAGCAAGGTACAAACCAGTGAATGTCTGTCATTTGTGTCCCCACCCCAAAAAGATATACTTGAATATATTTTGATTATCATTGGAAAGATAGAGCAGAAACTAGTAATAGTGGTGGTCTCAGAGACAGGGAACCTAGATGACTGAAGATTTGAGGGTGGGAGACAGACTTCCTTTTTCACTAAAAAAATAATAAATATGGGAGCAGAGATGAGTGACTGTTTCTGGCTAAAACTATTAGAAAGACTTTTGGAAAACAAATATAATAAAAACTTAGTATTGCTTTTATCTAGCAAAAATATAAAAC